TTTGAGAGGACTGTCTGTCGTTACCCATGAAATAATAAATGCCCAATTTTCATTACTGTCCACTAAACATTGACAAGAGCTCTGACAGTCTCCTGGCTCGCTCATGCAGTTCCTTGATCAGTCCAATCAGTCTACATAAAATGGACATGAAGTAGAGAACCTTTAGGACAAAAGATGCAATGTGAATGTAAAATATTAGTGGAACAGGTTGTCTGTGGGTGACTTTCAGTGTTCTGATACAGTTCTGCTTTCTTGTTAATATGCTATAAAAGCATGGCAAACTTTAAAGCATGGAATTAGGGAGGTTGATATAATGTTTTATAAATAGTTTGAAAAATTCTAAGTTTTTGAATGTTCACAGAACACTGTTGGAGAAATGCATCATGTAAATTGTGGTTGATAAGTAATGATGTGCATCATTTTCATGCAGTTTTTCAATTTTTAGAATCTCAAGTTAATCAGCCCTTTTTGCTTTTGGTAATTCTTCATTTATGGCTCTGACATTTCTATGTTTAACTGCAAAGAAATGTCTAAACACTATTTTTCGTGCCAGAAAATACAGCAATAGCGTAAACCAAGTAAACTGCTGCATTTTTCACATTTTATAACCTTAGAAAGTTTCAACTGCTATTTAAAAAACAATAATCCAGTAAAAAAAATTGTAATTGCCTTAAAAAAAAATTTTAATTGCATAAAATCTTAATCCAGAATTTTCTTTGATTTTTTTCACTATGAACCAGTTGTGCAATTTATAAAGACGAAATAGTGAGATTAATTCCTTAATTATTTCCTTTACGTTGTTATTATTTGTATATGAAGCATGACTTTATGGTTTTTGTCATTTTTGCTTCCTAAGAGCCAGACATGTTTTTTGTTCCATTCAAGGGAAGGAAGAAGGGAGAGAGAAAGGAATTAATCTCTGGAAATTGGTCAGATCCCATTTTCCATACTCCTATCTACTACATTTTTTCTGGTATTAGCAAAATGTGCAGGATTTGGCTTTAGCCTATTTAAAAAGTAGACCTAATGAAGTACTTACTTACTGCATAAATTAGCGGTTTTAAAACATGAGCAGTTGCAATAAAGTTTAGAAGCTTTAAAATGAAATGTTATTCTGTACTGACAGACTTAACTGAAACAGTGTATAAGACACTGGCATGTGTGGGTCCGCTTGCAGGAAAAGAATGCTAATTCCTCCCCATGTAGCAAATGCTGGTTCTTTGTATCCTAATTTGCAAAACTATACTTCTTTTCAAAACCATGAGGAATGGAAATACAAAAAACAGGTAAAAATATACTCATTTTTATAATAAATACAATTAATGCCATTATATACACAGAAATGAATAAAGTTTTATTTTAAAGATAAATGCTCCGAATACTGTAGCGCTATATTTGTGCAAGACAGCCTCTCAGAGATGTCTAATAAAAATAAAAATATATAGCTAACTACTTGTGTATTTTGATTGTTCATGCTGAGAAAAACTTACAAAATATTTAGTTTTTGCTATAAATGTTTTTAATGGAACATAGATTTGTGATGAATGAAAGTTGCTATTTTAGATAAGGATACTTATATTCCTTTTTTTCCTAAAGTATGTTTGTTATAAATCGGATACTGTGCCTTTAATCACTGCTGTTCTGTCAGGAGGAAGAATACAGAGCTAAATCCAGCAGACCTTATTTTGGCAAAACGCCCACTGAAGTCAGTGAGGGTTTTGT